AATTTGGGGGGAAAATTTGGGGGGAAAATTTGGGGGGAAAATTTGGAGGAAAAATTTGGAGGAAAAATTCGGAGGAAAAATTTGGAGGAAAATACGAGAAAAATTTGAGGGAAAATTTGAGGGACATTTGAGGGAAATATGAGGAAAAATTTGGAGGAAAATTTGAGGAAAATTTGAGGAAAATTTGAGGAAAATTTGAGGAAAATCTGAGGAAAATTTGAGGAAAATTTGAGGAAAATTTGAGGAAAATTTGAGGGAAAATTTGAGGGAAATTTGAGGGAAAATTTGAGGGAAAATTTCTTCCAGTCAAAATTCTTGGAAAGGAATTGGACCCCAAGGAACTGGACTCCAAGAAACTGGAAAAGAATTGGACCCCAAGGAACTGGACCCCAAGGAACTGGACCCCAAGGAACTGGACCCCAAGGAACTGGACCCCAAGGAACTGGACTTTAATAAATTTTAAATAAATATCATTAAATTAAATACATTGAAATTTAAGCAATTTAATTTGTTATTATTCATTTAATTTAAAACAGAAGCCAAAAAAAAACCCTGCTGATGACTTTTCACAAAGTGAGACTCGAGCCAGGAGAGAAACTGCTCGACTTCACAGCACAAGGAAGGTGAAAAGAAAGAGGGGAAAAACCTTCCTGGAGCATCCCAAATGCAGATTTTAACCCCAATTTCCAGGGATAATCATCGCCTCAGAACTTCCTAGCAGGGGTTTAGGCAGGAGCAGAGCCTGGAGCTCGGGATGGACCTACCAGCATTTGACTTTTCCTTCTGGAGCTTGAGGAACTGCTGCAGGAAACTCCCGTCGTTCACGAACTTGTTGGACACGGAGGCGTCGCCTTCGGATCCATCCTCGCTGGTTGGGAGAGGAAAAAAGGGGGAGATGGAGCTGAGGAGGCTCCCCAGGTCCTCACACACCGGGATTTGGGGGCAGAAAACAGGATAAAACCCCCAGGAATTATTAATGAAAGGGGGAGATGGAGCTCAGGAGCCTCCCCAGTTCCTCACACACCGGGATTTGGGGGCAGAAAACAGGATAAAACCCCCAGGAATTATTAATGAAAGGGGGAGATGGAGCTCAGGAGCCTCCCCAGTTCCTCACACACCGGGATTTGGGGGCAGAAAACAGGATAAAACCCCCAGGAATTATTAATGAAAGGGGGAGATGGAGCTGAGGAGCCTCCCCAGTTCCTCACACACCGGGATTTGGGGGCAGAAAACAGGATAAAACCCCCGGGAATTATTAATAAAAGGGGGAGATGGAGCTGAGGAGCCTCCCCAGCCCCTGGGGATATTAAATCCATATATAACTTCTGTCACAAATGCATCATAATTATATCAATGCATTAATAAATCACATCCATAATCCTGATGATAAATATATCCATATATAATTCCTACCATAGATATATAATGTATCATTATATTGATAAATCATATACATAATCCCTATGATAAATATATCCATATATAACTCTCATAATGGATATATCATATTATATATCATAATATATCAATACATTAATAAATACATTAATGTCATATCCATAATTTCTGATAAATATATAAATACATTCCCATATATAATTTCTATAATAGATAAACCATAATATACCAATCTATTAATAAATCTATATATAATTCTAGAGTATGTCAATATATAATTTCTATCACTAACATATCAACGTTAATACATCATATGTATAATTCCTAAGCTAAATATATCATAAATATATCAATACATTAATAAATCACACATAATTGCTGTAATGAATATATCAACATATAGGTTCTATCATAAATATCTCAGTGTGTTAATAAATCATATATAGAACATGATGACTGTAAATCACAACATATAAAGTTGTAAGTTATATATAAATGTATTTTTATATATATAAATCAATTTCTGAGGAACGTTTCTATTAAATTAAATTAATTAAATTAAATTAAATTAATTTAATTCTAATTCTAATTTAGAATTATATTAAATTAAATTAATTTAATTCTAATTCTAATTTAGAGTTAGAATTATTTTAATTCTATTAAATTAAATTAAGGCCTGAAAACCCGGGTGCCCCCGTGACCACCCCAATCCCACCCCTTGCTACATTCCCAGGAATTCCCTCCAGGTGCAGAGCTCCTCCTCTGCCTCCCCCCTTGCCCTGGAATTGCAGGGGCTCCACGTACTCTCCGAGCAGGGGGAGCTGGGGGATGCTCAGGGAGTTCTGCCTCGCCTGCTGCTCCAGCCGGGCCTCGATCTCCCGCTTCTTCTGGGCGATGAGCTCCTCCTGCTGCAGGATGTTCACGCTGGCCTTGGCCGCCTTCGACTGGGACACCCCGAACCAGCGGCTGGCCTTGCCTGGGGGAGAGAGAGGGATTAGTGGGGGTAATCCCAAATCACTGGCTGGGCATCCCTGGGGGAAACAGGGGAATTAGTGGGGACTGTCCTGGAACACAGGCTGGCCTTGCCTGGGGGAGAGAGGGAATTAGTGGGGACTGTCCTGGAACACCGGCTGGGCATCCCTGGGGGAAACAGGGGAATTAGTGGGGACTGTCCTGGAATACCCGCTGGGCATCCCTGGGGGAAACAGGGGAATTAATGGGGATTGTCCTGGAACACTGGCTGGGCATCCCTGGGGGAAAATAGGGGGAATTAAGGGGGACGGTCCTGGAACATCCACTGGGCTTTCCTGGGGGAAAGAGGGGGAATTAATGGGGTAATCCCAAATCACTGGTTGAGCTTTCCCGGGGGGGAAAACAGGGGGAATTAATGGGGTAATCCCAAATCACTGGTTGAGCTTTCCTGGGAAAAAACAGGGGGACTTAATGGGGACTGTCCTGGAACACCTGCTGGGCATCCCTGGGGGAAAGAGAGGGAATTAATGGGGGTAATCCCAAATCACTGGTTGAGCTTTCCTGGGGAAAACCAGGGGGAATTAATGGGGGTAATCCCAAATCACTGGCTGGGCCTTCCCTGGGGGAAAACAGCAGGAATTAATGGGGATCGTCCTGGAACATCCGCTGGGCATCCCTGGAGAAAACAGGAGGAATTAATGGGGGTAATCCCAAATCACTGGCTGGGCTTTCCTGGGAAAAAACAGGGGGAATTAATGGGGATCATCCTGGAACACTGGTTGGGCATCCCTGGGGAAAAATAGGGGGAATTAATGGGGGTAATCCCAAATCACTGGCTGGGCTTCCCCGGGGAAAAGGGGAAAGGTAATTAAACCTGGGGGGGGCCACCCCGGAAACCTCAGCCTTGTCTTCACTGGGGGAAAAGGGGGAAAAAAAAAATCAACAGCGGGGGTCTCCCAAATCCCCGGCTCGCCTTCCCTATGGGAAAAGGGAGGCAGAAGGGAAGGAAGCGTCATCCAAACCACCGCCTCGCCTGCCCGGCAGGAAAAGCCGAGGGGAATCTTAACGGAGGGACCACCGCAAACCAGCGTCCCGCCTTCCCAGCGGGAAAACCGGGGAGGGGGGGAAGGAAATCAACGGAGGAGGAGGAGGAGGA